ACACACTTCGAATCCAGTGTTGAATGCATAGTACAGCGCCTTTGTGGATAAACTTTCGTCTAAGTAAAGCTTGCGTCGCATTTTGACCTTTTCGTGCATATTTAGCATTGCGAATTTTACGAAACAGTAGTGCTCGCTTACGTCCCAGCATGCCACGATAACATCGTTGGATGTTCAATGCAGCCTGGTTGTGGTGCTTGGCTACAGCTTGCTGAATAATTTTTCGTATTTTCCTCACAATTCGAGCATACCGGATCATTTGCTGTGTCTGAACAATTAGCTTTCGTTGATACAAATAGAGTTTTCGAGCACAGTAGCGTCTCCACTGTGACTGGATCACAATTGCGGTATTCGTGGCCACTGTACGATAAAAAGCGACGCGTTTACGAGCCAAATGTCCACGATAAACGCGCTGGATTGTAAGCGCTGCTGCGTTCATCTCGATTCTCATGGCAGATACGTGCCATATTGCCAATTTTCGTCTCCATACGCTCTGGATTTTGATAGCTGCATTTCGATAGTAGGCCATGTATTTGGTGAAATTCTGTCGACGCTTGTACTTCCGCCACTGACCTTGAATACTGTAAATTTTCTCTACAAGCCATCTGGATCGAGCTTGAAATTCTCGATAATTGAGGCATTTTCGATACCATTGCCAAATCTTGCCAGCAGATTCCAGTTTGCGTTCGTAAATGAGTCGTTGGTATACTTGACGGCCACGATATCCACGAAATACTCGCTGGATTTCACGAGCGTTATAATTGCGATAATTCATTCGAAAAACGTAGTGCGGTCGATAGAATTTTTGAATTCGACGAACTGCAAAATTTGCAGTAAAACGCCAAGTTCGAAATTCTCGACGAGCTCGGTTACCACGGACATGAGCTTGCACAAAGACGATCTTAGCGACGCTTTCTTTAAGCGAGAGCAAGTGTAAGAATCGACGCCAGGCCAAGAAATCTCGAATACATTTCTGAATTTTCCGGGCTGCTCTTGTTTCGCGCAATAGTCGACGATTTGCCAAAAATTGTATTGTGAA